ATGCTGTCAATTCGATACTTGAGTAAGGCGGAACTCGCAAGTATCTCAGTGAACCAGGCCGTGTGAATAAAGCCATTGTGGTCAAACAAGGCTTGCATCCTGTTGGTGCCAGAATAAGGCCATTGTTCTACAGACAAAGAGTGATAGTAGACCACTAGGTGTGCATTTATACCTTCACCCACCCTCCCCCTGGGCGCTCTTTTCTTGACGATCCCCAGAAGCATTCATGCTGCCCGAGTTCCCAAACAAAAAAACCAACAATAAAAGCTCAGCAGCTTGTAGGTATACCAACACTTGGTGAGTACCCATCCTTCGTTTACAATCTCCATTACAAGATTCACGATGAGCTGCATTTTTGCGTGCCTCCCATGGCTTCGTGCCTAGAAGAGACGGCCGAGTGCTGCTGCTCACAAGAAAAAGACTACTGCCGCCGGCGAGACTGACAGCGAAGAATACCCTCTGGTAGGGCTTTCAACCGACCAACATGAAAGCGAACAAGGGAGACCCGACTCGTTCGATCTGACCGACGGATTCTGTTTCCGCGTGCCCGAAGACCTCTACACCATTGGCGGATCAGATTCTGATTCTGATGATGATGAAAGCCATGATGAAGTTGGTCCGAGGTCGTTTTAAAAAATTAATAAGCTAAGAATATACAATATTTCCTCATCTTTTATCCATCTAGCAATACATGCTTTATTCATTTTGTGTGACCCCGAATGATCTTTGATAACCATCTTCTGAAAGAGTGATTTCCCGCTTCTTTGTTTGCCCTTTTATTATTTGTTCTTTGAACATTCCGTACTCGTGTGCTTCTTTCAGACGCCTCTTTGAAGACCAGTGTGAGCTTGTGGAAAGGTTCAATGACAGCACATGTTGAGTGAATGAAGAGTTGAGAATCAAGTGGAACCTTGAATAGTCAGGGACTCAAAACGCTGTGCCACATCTTGGGGGCCTTTCTACTCACATGCAAGGCACAGGTCCGTCTATCACTCGCCGGCTCAGGGGGTCATCTAATTGCAAAGTCATGGTTAAAGATAGTGTACAGTTCCGAAAACAGTATCGTCATTCTAGAATACACCGCAATTCCTCCTCTAAACTCCCGGACTCGTTTCCATCACTCTTCATACTCGCCCTCGGGGCCGGGATTGGCACAATACCCCGCCCATTGCTTTTTCCATTGCTCCGTCACCCTGAAAGCCTTTTCCTGTCTACTCCTTTGATTCAAACCCAAAATGCAACATCTGAGCATGTCGCGCGCAACCTGGTAAACCTCGTCGTTGGCATACTTGGCGTACTCTGGGCCGGCAGCCTCGAAAAAGATGTCCTTGCGCGCCTGCTCCTCGTCGGTGAGCTCGGGCTCTGGGTCCAGGCACTCGATGTAGTAGTCCTGGCTGATCTCGTTGGACCAGAGCTCGGCCGGCGGTCTGCAGGCCACAAAGATGGGCAGGAAGTAGCAGTCGTCCCAGTCGAGGATGCCGAGGCCCCTTCCGTTGGGGTATTGCTTTCTGTCGTAGATCAGGTTCCGCTTCGCCATGTCGCTGTGATAAAGCGCGTTCGGCATGTCGGCCGGGAACACGCCCAGCTGTTCCATCTGCCCCATGGCGCCCGAGAAAAAGGTCCACAAATCGATCTCGTCCTTGAGTTCCTTCCGGCGCTTCGCCTTGTCGTCACGGACCTCGTCCTTGTCGTACCCATAATCTCGCTCAATCTTTGCGAGTCTCGCCGTGGCACTCCTGGACATGGCATCGAAAAGGGACTTCAAGACCTGGACCGGAGGCTGCTCCGGCGGCGAGTGGGGATCCCAAGGCCTGGCCTCGTAGCGCAGGTAGCGTTTGAGGCCCCAGTGAGGGCAGAAAGGGGCCACCCACACGGGGTAGTCCTTTGACGGGTTGTTGCGGCTAGCCTCGAGCTCGACGCCGGGCGGGAAGACCATGACTCCTGCGCGGCTGCTCTTGGTGGCCAGCATCTCCCTGTAGGCTAGACCCAGCTCCCTGGCAACCTGGTCCTTGTACTCGGGATCGAATCTCGTCCCGTAGTTGCCCCTGTTGAGGCAATCACCGTTCAGCCTCTTCATGATCATAAAAGGCCTTTCGACGCAGGTGCCCTCCCCCTCGGTGTCCCAGGCGACCACGCGAGGGGCTGGGATGGTGGTGTGCTTCTCGAGGAAGAACAGCGGCGCGAGGTCGGCCAAGAAGTCCTTTCCTTCCTTTCGCGACAGGCGTATGATCCACTTGGGCACCCCGTTCAGCTCGATGCTCGCCACGCGGTTGTACGAGCCGCCAGAGAGATGCGAGGTGGTGAGGCAGCCATCGACCTCGAAATGGACCCGGGCTTGCTTCAGCACCTTGTATTTGAACGTGCTCCATGACTCGTGGCCGTGCTGCGACGTCGAGCCCGTGTAGGGCGTCGACTCTGTTGGGCGAGGAGTCCCCATATCCACGTCTGATACTTGTTCTTGGTCCTCGTCTTCCTCGTAGTACTCCTCCTCCTCCTCCTCATGTCCAGCTGGTCCTATCGGCGTAGCATCCCCCTCCTCGTACTCTTCCTCGCCCTCTTCTACGTATTCATCGTCAGAAGCGTCCGTCATGTCTACATCCTGGCCATCGCCCTCCCCCTCTTCTCCCTCATACTCGGCATCCGTCATTTGTTCGTCCTGATTAGACGTGGCGCTCGTTCTACCGGTCCCGGAAGGGCGAGACCCGCTACTCTGGTGTCCCTCCTCGCCCGGGTACACCTTGCCCTCGGCCTCTTTGCAACTATCGTCTCCATGGTTTCTGCCGCAATAGAAACAGGGAAGCTCGACTTCGTCCTCCTCATCCAGGACAGCCGATGGCTCTGATACCGGGACACGCTCCGGCTCGTCGTCGCTTAGAGCATATTGGTGAGAAGAACCTCGAGGCATTTTTGGATTGATAACGTCTTTGTGAATAGCTGAATGAACAATATGCGTTATTTCGTGGCCTAGAATGATAGCTAGGCAAACTGGCTTTGTACCGGTCAAGTTGCTTGCTTGGGAAAGGGGTTGAAGGGGCCAGGCAGCAAGAATAGAGACGACATGGTCTTATACTCTGTTCTGAGAACAGTGGGAAAGGGAGATTGTGCCTCGGCCGCTTTGTTCCTATTTTGGATGCAAGATTCAGAAAGTGAAAGAGGCTTTCAAAGTCTCAATGCAGCGATAAGACGGAGTTAACGAAGACGTCGGCACCCGGTCACAAGTTCTTTGTTCGGTCGAGGGTTGGATAATACTATTATAGATTGATGGGGAGAAAAGACTGGGGTCAAAGGATGGACTCGTTGAAGATGGATAAAAGATGTTTTCTTTGTGATACTGATCGCCCATCTGAGGCTGGCTCACGTAATTCAAGGACAACCTTACATAATCCCACCCGAGATATCTTGTTACTATCATGTCCCGAGAGTCCATGTAATACAGCAGCATCCAGTCTGGGATCGTCCATATAGCGAGCCTGATGGATGCTGAATTGTCAAGGTCAACACCACAGCGGCTGATAATATATGATGTCCATGTTCGCAAGACATACTTTGATCTGTACTGCCTCCAGTGCACCTGTCCCAGAACAGCCGCCGCTGAAAAGTAAACAACCCCTGAGTCGCGTAAACAAGACGAGTATCTCCAACTCAGGGAGACTTGGAGATTGAGTATTTAAAGACCTCGACCCTCGCCGCTTCAAGTTGTTGTTTATTTTGCTCCATCATCATCCTCATCTGGACTGCGACAAGCTAGCTGACTCTACTCTACTCTAGACAAAGTTGGCCTCAAGAAGCAGCCATGCCCCAAGCAAAAGGAAGCGTTTCCCATCATTGCCCTTTGAAAGGGAAGAACAAGGGGAACTGCTGGAAACCCAAGGGGAGCTTGATTTGCACCGAGCACCAGATGATCTGCCCTTACCATACGAACTGGTACCACATCAAGTCTGAAGCCTGCGCTCTGTGCACCAAGGTCGTGGAGCAGGCGTTGTATACGCCCACCTATTCAAAGTTTGAGCAGGAGGATGCTGCGAGCAGCAGAAAGGAGGAGATTTCGAGACAGAAAGAAGAGAAGAAGAAGAACAAGAAGGTGAGCAACCGGGCTGAGAGGAGGTGAGTATTGATGAAGCTCATGAGGTCCGCAGGCACGGTACTCTCATCGAACACTGACAAACAACGTTTAATCTATCTAGTCCCCGGAATATCTCCCACCCACCCCAACGAGTACTAATCTAGGCTCGACGGCATTGAATGCCATTCCTACGTTGCTTCGTGGCCGCTAGCGGCCGAGCCCATCTGAGATGGCAAGATGAAGCGTAGGAAAAAACAAGGTGACTTGACACGGAGGCTTGGCTTCTGTCCTCGACACTTTGAGGTTTTAAGTTTGGATAGGCAACCCGTATGCTCAGACTATGTATTTTATCACGAATGTTCTTGTGGAAATCATGTGCCAATCCGTACGTAGCTCATGGAAGGTGGCCTCTCCCAATGAGTAAGATTTTGCAAAGCCTTGAGAATATACATTATCCATTGTTCGTGGAACAGAGATCATGTCCGTCCTTTATTCCACTTATATTGCAAATGCATGTTGTAATGGAACAAAGTTTATCTTGGGGCCGCGACGAAAAGGGGCGAGTGGAGAAAGGGGCGTTGTCAGGGAGACGCCGATGTCGGAAGACTGATGGCTTCCAGCTCCTCGAGCAAATCACACATGCCAAATTCACTGAACTGCTAGGAAGGCATATGCAGTGATAGACTGACTCCGAGAGAGGTCTCAATGAATCCTCGTATGGAACAAAGGAGTCTCTGCTCGGAATGTTGGATAGCAGCACTCTCACTCCGAAGCTGGGTGCTCTTCGCCCTCTTCCGCAGGCCCGGAAGAACCCTCTTTAACCATGCTCCACCACCGCCCCATCAACCGAGTCAGAAAATGAGAACTTTGCTGCAAGCCCTGCCTTCGGCACTTTATAGACTAATACAGTTCAGACATTAACATCCAAGACAAGCAAGCCCGATTAGCTCAGCCGGTTAGAGCGTCGTACTAATAGTATTCTCCACGCTTTACTCTCTATGGAGTAAAGGAGGTACCATACAGTCATGCGAAGGTCAACAGTTCAATCCTGTTATTGGGCATCATATGATAAACATCTCGAAAGCGAGCTTTTTTGCACCCCGTCTTTTGACTTTTGTTACATGATTGTCTTTTGGACTCTTTGGATGATCCCACTCCCCCTTTTTTGACTTGTAGTGATATAAACAGAGACACTGACTGGCATCTCAATGCAATCCTGAGACTTTTCTAGGGCCTCTCTTGTTGTGAGGCACAGGTGGTCATCAATAACAGCATGTAATATGTAGCATTCGCCGGGCCATGTACCGTGTCGATACAAATTTCACGGGTCTTACGTACGCTTGGGCCGTTGATCATCGATACCCAGTCCCCACCGTTGCATTGCTCTCGGCAGTGTTTGCTTCCCGGCTTCGAGCTTGAGTCTCGAGATGGAAGGTGCTCGCGTGAGCGTGAGATGGGCGTTGACATGCGTGTTTCACTGCCGAGTTCACTGTTTTGTCTCCCGCCCCGTTCCTGCCGGCACTTGGGCACAGACAATGTGACAGCCGGCGTGGTATGCGGTGGTTGGGATAAAGGATGAACTCTACGTGGTCCCTGGGTGGAACAACCATGTACAGAAAGAAAATGCCGCCATCTGAGACGCGTCTACGATGAGCTGTGACAACAAGGGCTGGGAAACAACTGCAGAGGGGAGGGTGGTGAGCCAAGCAAAACAAGTCCCCGAGACAATGCTTGATCGAGTTCAAGCTTTTGGCTCGTCCATCGTCAACCTGGTCTCCGTGCACGTGTGAGATCCAACAACACACCCAATCGGATAATTTACAGCTTGTCGTGCTCGTTAGCAGCTTGAAGTCGGAAGAGAGCTAATAATCCGTCTCTGAAACACATGTCTTGATACAAGCCCATGACACAGATTCTCGATAGAGCAACCATTCTCACGCCGGGCCATCCAACTCGGCAAGTCGAACCGGAACGAGCTTCATCGTAAAGTAATCAGTGTTGGCAATAATACCAAACGACGGCCTGACGGGAACGGTTTCTGTTTCCACCTTGGCATCTTTTCTGTGATCTCACCAAACGGTCCATCAGGGTCCTGGTCACAATTTTGACCATGGCGGTGACCTCAGCCCAGAATTGAGGGACAATCATGATGGCCAAACTTGGAAAAGAACAAGACCGTTAGCAACCCTTGTCAAACCCATCTTGACCCATCATGGCTATCAGCGGCGATCTTGAGTGAGCCAAGAGACCCAAGACGCTCACCGTCTTCTTGCAGCATCGCTTTCATGTTCCCCATCCTAGCTGCAACAGCAAACAAAAGCCAAGCCAACCGACTGTTCCGGCACAGCAGCATTATGCAGTGCCGGCTCAGTCACGAACGCTCCAACCACCTTGACTGAATTGACTGAAACGACCACAGGTCTGAAAGAATTCTCAAGCAATCTCAAAAAGCCACATCCGAGAGGCTGGACAACACGACCTGAACGGTTTCCTCCGTCAGTCCGGGGTTTGTCAAAGGGAAACTCAAGTTTGCCCCACGAACCCCACCATTGGTGGATGCCGTCATAGCCGCAAACTCCCGCGCTAGGGAGCTTGGCGGACCCACAGGGAGGCTCTCAAGTGGTCTCGGGACCCTGCATGGTGGCCTTGGCGGCCTTGGCACATGGGCAGGAGAAGGAATTGGCGGACAAAAACGAAAAAAAGACAAAACGGCTTTTTGCCTTTTCTCCTTGTCGTGTGCTCAGATCTCTTGAAGAGTTGCAAGAAGCTTATCGGTGTTTCGAACCCCTCATCACCATGTGACGGCAAGGAGGGACACCCTGTTGCTTGTTTCTTTGCGCTTCATGGGTATCGTGAAATGTCGGTGGCAGGAAGAATGGACTTTGTTTGGCGCCGTGTGAAACCAATGGTCTCTTCCGTTGCTTCAACAACTTTGCCCGAGGTCAAGAGGTTTTGGAAACCTTGGTTGAGTACTAGTAACAATCCCTTATCAAGAACACAAGATACGGACGGGTACCGCAGACGGAACGGACGGGAACTTGGTAATGTCTCCCGGGACGGGAAGTGCCCAGGTGTGACGACATCTGGAAGTTCTTTGCCTCCGTACCGGGCCAAAAGGTGAAGTCGAGAACAACAACTCCCACCCCGCGTGGCACTCGGCCGAGTCGGCCCCCATGGAGTATGGATAATGCCCGCCCGCTGTGAGTCCCCCAATATTGTTTGCCCCAACTGTCATCTTATTTGTGCATGAGTGGGATAGATTTGCCATGACATATCCCACAACGAGCTGTACTTTTTTGTCTTCTTTTCTTCTCTCATCCAGTAGCTCTGCCCACGTGCAGACGCCGAGAGACTTGCTAGCTTCTCCACCAAACCGCCAAGACGAGACGATCAACAGTTGCAAAGATGCCAAGTCGACGCCGAGCCGCCAAGCGCTGTACCACAATCCATGACACTCCATCCAAACAGACAAAGCACCTTCCCCAACCGAACACGTTCAGACCAGGCCTCGGGATTGGGAGGAACAGGTTTTCTGGGCATTGTGGGCTCTTGACAGGAATTGCAACATTTCCCGGGCATTCGGTGTGAAGAAGCGGGAGGAGATACATAAGAGGTCGTCCAGATATCCATCTCGATCCATTCCAGACTGCCGCCCAGACTGTGAACCCTTCTGGCCCTCACATCTATATGCCACATCCCGTGCATTGGCACATTCACATTTGCCTTCACTAGTGCATTGGCTATTCCTGCTGTAACCGAAGACCCAGCACCGGAACCCACAAAAGAGCCTATCGACCGTTCGTGGGACACTTGAATTGGCCCTTCTGCCCTTTCCCTTTGCTTCTGACTCTCTCTTCTTTGACCTATCGACTGCTCCAGCGAATCCCAACACAAATAACAAGACCAAAATTACCAATTGACAACTTTTCAACATATTGGTACCCCCAAAACAACGTACAGGGCGGAGTAACTGCCACCGACCACAGCAATGGGCGCCACTCCAAGTGGAGATCCGGAGAAGGGCTCCGGGACTCTCGACCGGGGCCACAGTCCCGGAGAGTCGAGCAACAACAACAGCAGCAAGAATGCCAAAACTCCCGGCTCCGGGGGCCCGGAGGCACACGTCTCGGGCCAGTCCAACAAGCCGCTCACTCGCCCGGCTCACGCCTTGACCTTCTCAGAGCTGGCAGCCGAGCTCGGTGCTGACCCCCTCTCGGGTCTGTCCCCAGAGGAAGCCAAGCGCCGGGTCGAAGAGTACGGCACCAACGACCTGGGCGAGGCCGAGGGCGTGCAGCCCATCAAGATCGTCATCGCCCAGGTGGCCAACGCCATGACCATGGTCCTGGTCCTGGCCATGGCCGTCAGTTTTGCCATCAAGTCGTACATCGAGGGTGGTGTCGTCGCTGCTGTTATTCTTCTCAATGTCGTCGTTGGTTTCTTCCAGGAATATTCTGCCGAAAAGACCATGGACTCGCTGCGGAGCTTGAGTTCTCCCACTGCGAATGTCGTTCGTGGCGGGGAGGCCATCGTTGTCCCCTCGGGAGAGATTGTGCCCGGCGATTTGGTTGAAGTCAAGATGGGCGACACGATTCCTGCCGATCTTCGGTGAGTTGCCCCAACTCACTTTACAGAATAACATCTCACTAACCTCATACAAAGCCTCATCGAAGCCAAGAATTTTGAAACCGACGAGGCCCTGCTGACAGGCGAATCCCTCCCCGTCCGCAAATCCGAGAATGCCACCTTCCCCGACACCACCGGGCCCGGCGACCGCCTCAACGTCGCCTATTCCTCGTCCACGGTGACCAAGGGTCGTGCCAAGGGAATCGTCTTCGCTACCGGCATCTACACCGAGATCGGCGCCATCGCCTCGGCCCTCAACAAAAAAGACAGCAAGGTCCGCCCCGTCAAGCGCAACGACAAGGGCAAGGCCGGCCCGCATCGGTACCTCGAGGCTTACACCCTGACTCTCGGCGACGTGGCTGGAAAGTTCCTCGGCGTCAGTGTTGGAACCCCGCTGCAGAGGAAGCTCAGCAAGCTGGCCATGCTTCTTTTTGCTATCGCCGTTGTGTTTGCGATTGTCGTCCTGGGCGCCAACAAGTTTGATACCAACCAGCAGGTCATCATCTACGCCGTCGCCACGGGTCTGTCCATGATTCCCGCCTCGTTGGTGGTCGTCTTGACCATCACCATGGCTGCCGGCACCAAGCGCATGGTCGAGCGCAACGTCATTGTGCGCAACCTCAAGAGTCTGGAGGCTCTCGGCGCCGTCACCGACATCTGCAGCGACAAGACTGGTACTCTTACCCAGGGAAAGATGGTTGCTCGCGGCGCGTGGGTTCCTGGAATGGGCACGTACACCGTCGAGATGGCGGCCGGTGCTTCGCCCTTTGACCCGACCAAGGGAAAGATCAAGTTCTCGGAAAAGGTTCCCACGCAAATCAACTTCAAGTCTGCCGGAGGCGAAGACGGAGTTGCCACTTCTGCCCAGGAGCTTTTGGCCACGAGCAAACAGTCATCTGCTTCCCGGCTGCAGGATTTTCTGACGGTTGCTTCGCTGGCCAACCTTGCGACGGTATACGAGAAGCAGCCTGGCGAGTGGCACGCCCGAGGAGACCCGACCGAGATTGCGATCCAGGTTTTTGCCAGCCGTTTTGACTTTAACCGTCTGAATGTGGTTTCTCAGGACGCCAGCAAGCCCGGCAAGTGGAGCGAGGTCGCCGAGTTCCCGTTCGACAGCGACGTGAAGCGCATGAGTGTCGTGATGCGGAACAACGAGACGGGCGAGAACGTCGCCTTTACCAAGGGTGCTGTCGAAAGAGTCATTGGTGTCTGCCCCAAGTACACAATTGGCGAGAAGGAGCTGGATGTTACCGAGGAATTCAAGAACGAGATTCTGAGAAACATGGAGGTCTTTGCCGGGCTGGGACTTCGTGTCCTGGCCCTGGCTAGCCGGACTGTCCCATCCAACGTCACCGTCTCCGAGGACATGAACCGCGACGAGATTGAAAAAGATCTCGTCTTCAGGGGCCTGATTGGTCTGTATGACCCGCCCCGACCC